TCCAGCAGTGGTTGTTGTTCCTGTACGTCTCGTGATGTGACAGTGATGGAAACCTGACTGTGTGCAGCTCACCTGAGGACAGACGTTGCTGAAGTAGGCGTCTGCAGACGTGGACTGCTGAGGACATGCGACCAGGATCCGAGCCACGGCGTCGCATTTCCTCCAGTCAGACTCGCCCCCTGCAGGACAGAAACGGTGCTGCAGGTTGGCCAGAACACATCGAACACAAGTTTCACTGCCTCAACTGTTAATTAATCCTCTGAACTTTAAAACCTGCTGATAGATTTAAAAGACATGTTATCTTTTACAAAAAAAAAGGAAAAACATAAAATATGCATCTTTTATCAGAGCCAAAAACTGTAAATTATTATTGCTATATTATTATTATTATTATTATTATCATTAATATTATTATTATTATTATTATTATTATTATTATTATTATTATTAATAATGATAATAATAATACGGTAATAATAATAAAGTCAACTCATTTTCATCTTTTTGGCAGTGAGATGTTCAGATCTTTAAGGAAAAACAGCCAATTTTTTTCTAACACTGTGATATTTTATTTTTAAAAATAACCGTATCCTGCATGTTTCATTTAAAAATTCTCAAAAAGTTTGCTCTGATCAGTTTCTGTAAAAAACTAAAAATTCTGACCTCCTTTCAGATTCTCTGATTCTCAACCACTGGCTCAGCTGTGAACAACAGTCACAAAAAATCAGCTGAACTACAGGCAGTGTTTCCACAGAGAGACTGAGAGAAAATCCAACCTCGTAGGTCAATAAAATAAATGCAGCGTGGCTCAGAAACAGTGAACAGAGGAGCCGGTTGTTGGACGATACATCCAGCTGATGGTGGAACGTCTTTCTAGAGTTGTGTGTTAAATAAAGGTTCTAATCATTGGCACCAAATCTGGAACTGAAAATGCCGGTTTTATGTGTCACTAGCTCAAGTTTATGAGCTTCATCTGTCACCACCGTTTCAAAGGAGATCAAATGTTTGCTCACTGAGACGTGTTGGGACGTATTTATTCCTTCACGTGTCTGTCTGTTTTATTAAAGCCTCCCTGACTCCTCCTCACCTGTTCCTCCCTCCAGAACAGCTCTGACAACACCCTGGACGCCATTCGGCTGCATCAGGCGCTCAGACAGCAGCCGACCGCACAGACGCCTCAGCCAGGCCGGGGCTGATCCCAGACCTGCCCTGCTGCCGGACCCGCCGGACCCGCCGGAGCTCCCTGCTGGAGCCGCCTGGAAGAAGAACAGATTGAAAACTAATGAAACAAGCAGCTGGAACGTCTGAATGAAACCTGGTTCATGTAACGTGGGACAGTTTTTATTTATATACGATGAAGAAACACACAAGTTTACTAAGTTCAAAGGTTAAAAAAAACATCAGTCACAGCTGAAAATGTCAAGTGATTGTGATGATCTGCGAAAATGTAGACAACGGGCCCTCTAACATACATAATGTGGTGTTTTCCACGACTATAGACCATGTGCACGCCTTATAGGGTAATGACGTCCAACCAGAACTCACACACAATGTCAAACCAGCAGCAACATAACATCCAAATATCGCTCAGATTAAAAGCTGCCTCTGATCTCCACCTGTTTGGGTCCACCCTGGAGGACCAGCAGCTCCTTGACAACGATCGGCTGGTAGACTTTTCCGAGGAGGCTTCTGAGGGATTCTTTGCACGTTCGACACTCTTCAGCTGTGAGCGGCTGCATCGAAAGAGAGGCGAGAGAAAGGAAAAACAAAACCTTGATTACAGATCATCAAAATCATCTGATGATATGCTGTCTAGCTTTTATAGCAGTTATTCTAATTTCACATTTAAAGGGAGAACTGCAGCAGGACACAGACATACAACATTACAGCCTCACTGATTCTGACTGGTCTCTATTCTCAGATCTCTCTTGACAAACACATCTCTGCTTCAGTGAAAGGACCTGATTAAATAAAAGCTGAATAATGATGATAAACGACATAAGTGTGACCGACGCTCACCCTCTGCTCCTCTCGGTGAGGCTGGTAGCCCAGCTGACACAGTGCCGCCATCACGTCTCCCAGATGTCTCGTGAACACCAGCGTGGCGAGAGACGACAGCTCCGCCAGCTGCAGCAGGACACTCGTGGTGGTGAGAAGGCGGCGTCCACCTGCAGGCTCCGCCCCCCCACAGACCAGTTTCTCCACCATGGATCCAAACGCTGACCTGCGGCCCAGCGGCACGCCCACGCCGGGGGCCAGGTAAGGACAGAGTCCCAAGGACACTACGAACTGCAGAGCAGCCGCCAGCGTCTTCTGTTGGGCGACGCTGAGGACGTCGGGGGGTAAAGGCGGAGCCATCTCAGGTGTGCGGTGTCTGGCTGCAGAAGGAGGCGGAGTCTGCTGCTGGAAACGCTGCAGTTCAGCAGACAGGTGTCGCGTCAGGGCGAGCAGCAGCAGCAGACACTCCTGGACGAAGCTCCATGTGGCGTCCTGTGTGTCGCTGCAGAACCAACCTGCCGCCGCCGTTGCCTCCTGCTGAAGTCTCCTCACCTCCTCAAAGCTGCCGTCCGTCTGGAGACGCTCCAGCAGAAGAGTCCTGTTGGCCTCCAGAGCCGCCAGCAGAACGTCCTGCTGTGAGGACTGAGCATCGTGTCCGGACGCCTCTGCAGACAGTAACGGACAGAAGAAACGATATCAAGCCTCGACTCCAAAGCAACAGTTCAGTGACCTGTTAGAAATGTTCCTCCTGTTTGTATTCATGGTTGTCCAACAGTAGAGGAACTTAAGGACACTCACTGACAACAAACTAACCTTTGACTCAAACACTGAGGTTGTTTGTGGCTCATCGGTTCTTGTATTTTAACGTAAACATAGAAAGCTCAACATTGACACCTCTTTAGTTTTTTTTTAATGTGTTTGACCTTTTTCCTTTTTCTGCTGGTTTTGGTCACTTCAACTGAAAAACAGGAACAATTTGGAGCAAATTGTTAAAGTCTAATTAGCATATCTGTCAGAAAAATCTCAATCAGATATTTTTCTCCAAATCGTTTAGCCCTACAGCAGATTACATTCACCTGACTCTTGACTTAAACCTACGAGAGCTGAAACAACATACAACAACATGTCATCATATTAACCATCAACTGTACTGAAAATTGTAATTTTTAAAATAAAAAAGCCTAAATTCCCTACTCCCAACTTCTAAAATGTGAGTATATTCTGGTTTCAGTAAAGTGAATATCTTTTGGTTGAGGACAAAACAAGTCTTTTTTGGGAAACACTGATCAACATTTTTTAGCATTTTCTGATATTTCATAAATCAACCAGCCAATGGAATAACTGAGACAATAATCCGCAGATTTGTCGACAGTGAAAATAATCGTTGGTTGCAGGTCTAAAGCTTGCTGCAGGTTCAGTTTTACTGAGTTTTAACTCAAATCTTTGTTATCACTCAGTGGAAATGACATGTTGTACATTATTCCATTTAGATTGTTCAGCATCTGATGCTTCTGTAAATACTTCCTGAACAACGAATGGCACTGACATTAACTATTATTTAACTAATGGGAAAGTTTGGAGAAAAGGGCTAAATGTCTAAACATTCTTTAAAACCGACGTTTGAATCTGTATGAATGTATTTATGATTGAAACACTCGTCTGTAATTATGAATAACATGCAGGCTCAACATATGTGAAACCTTTATTGTCTTTTTGTAGACATCAGATGAGGTCTAACGTACAAAAAGACGACACCAGATGTGGACGAGATTATCTCTGCTAAACCAAAGCATGTTTAAAACAAACATTTAGATATGCGAATCCTTTATTCTACTTAGAAAATGTAAATAAAGAGTCATTTAATTGCTTTTTTTTAAAAACATATAACCCACATCAGAGCAGATATACATCAATATCCACTACATATAGACTTGTCAAGTCTGGATCATATTGACAGAGGACGTTTAAAGATTATTTACAATATCGTGTCATATTTGTCATCAATCTACGTGCAGAATCTTCAGTAAACTGAATCGACATGCTTCACACGACTGTTTAAGGTTAGCTTGTTGAGTTAGCTTCTGTCACTTAAACTCACCGCTCACAGGTCTGGTGAGGATATTTAATGCCGACAGGATAGCGGAGGTCATTTCGGGATCACACTGACCGCTAACGATACATTACAAGTCTGGAAACTATTCACAGAATAAGTTTTTTGTTACTCATCCAGGTCACGTTTCACGATGCTAAAGCTAAAAACATCTCAAAATGGCGCCTTAATTAGACGTCAGCACGCAGCCTCCGTTTGATGACTGGATTGGTTGACGCTACGCTGCGTTCACAGAACCACAGAAAAAAGTCGTAATTCTCTTGACGCGAGTATATTTATCTGGATTTACGTTAGAACAAAGACATTTTTATTACCTAACGGGCAATAAATTAAAAAAAAAAAAAAAAAAGTACAAATACTGTAGTTTAAATAAATTTTTACGAAAAAGTGTCCAAAATTACACTTAATAGCACTGAATGGTTTTTATCAGGATGTATTTAAAGTATCCAAGGTTTAAACGGTCATTTGGTACATAAGTGATATTACATATATTAGAATGGATGCATTTGTGTGTGCAGCATATTTCCATGGCTGTAGTCGTATTTTTGAGAAAATACAGATCAGTTTTAGCCCTGAGTACAGGACTGTGAACGTTTCACAGCATCAGCGTGTGGTTGGCCACATGGTGGCGTAATCGCTTCCATTATTTACTGTATGAAGCACAGAAGTCTCAAAGTTTGAGCTCTGTAGCGTAAAGCAATCTAGAGCAGATTAAAAGTGAAAAACTTAGTTTTATAATAAAAATATATATACATACAGAGTCATGTGTCAGCAAAAATACATTTAAAAATTAAATTTGGAATGAGTGACTGAAAACAAAAAGGCATCAAGTAGCCGCAGGCTTCAGAACAGCCTTTTTTTTTTTTTTTTTGCATCTTGCCGCATCAAATTTAGCCTTTTTTTTTATAGTTTAAGGCACTTTGCAGCCTTTTAATACAAATGTTAAAAAGCAAACAAGCACTTTGCTCGTAGCCTGTGATGTGAATGCCACCAACTTAATAGTACGTGAGCACAAACCATTTGTTACCTGCGAAAACAAAAGTTGGAAGCTTTAATATCAATGAACCAACGACATTTACTTACGTTTAGAGAAAATGCAAATGCACTGTCAGGTTAAGGCTGACAGTCACTTCAGCACACGTACATGAGGGAGCAAAAATTTAAAACATCACGCTTTGAGGAATGACGTTAAAGTCTGACGAGGCTCCTTTTGACTTCTACAGGACATGAAACTTTTAAAACTCCGAGACTGGACAGATTCCGGTCTTCTAAACAGAACAGTATTTAAGGTTCTAAGAGTTGTGGCAGTTGGTCAACAATATTTTCTAGGGGCTTGTCCAGGATCAAACCTGGAACTGCCACGTCATCAGAACAAACTGACCTTAGGCAGGCCAAGACAGTTTTAAAACTGTCGTTATATAACCTTCCAAAGTAAAAAGCTCCAGAAAGCACATCTAAGACACATCAGCTTCCATGTAAGTTTGTTTATTAGTCATTAGGAGACTCAACATTGAGTTCCCTACAACATAAGACCTGCAAAAGCAAACAGATGAGTGAGTAAGTCAGCCAGTAGTTAACAGCAGACTGATGATGCTACTGAGAGAACCGAGGCTCACCACAGAGATGTTCAGAAGACGCCTTTAACTGGAGCTTTATGGTCTCCGGGATATTTGAATATTGGCACTGAGGGGTAGAGGGGCTCCGTCGGGGTGTAGCGGGTCTGAGCGAACATGGCTCTTCCCCGCTGGTAGCGCGACCGAGAGCTGAAGGCGTAGACTTTATCCAGGTCGGACGTGTCGCTGAAGAACGGCTCGTCTCCACCGTCTCCAGAAGCTCCGGTCGAACCCTGGGAGCCGCCTGCATGGCCGCTGTGAAACCAGTCGCCGCCCACGTAACCTCCAGTACCACCGGACTGGTCAGAGCCCTGGTCAGAACCCCCAGTTCCCTGGTACCATGGAGTCTGGTACTGCGGCCACACGAGTTTCGAGTCGGATCCGGGATCTAAGGAGAAACAGGTTCACCATCGTCCATTTTTACAGAGCTGGAGCTGCTCATGTTGGTTTGAACAGAGTTTTACCTTGAACAGGCAGGCAGGTGATGCTTCCAATCAGCAAACATGAAATCCACAACACCCTGGAACAAAACACAACTTTTATTTTTGTCCTTTCTAGGCCGAGTTGAGGAACATTCAGGAGTTGTCTCACCTCATTCTTGCAGAATAAGTGGGTTAATTGCAAGTATAGACGGAAGATTTGTAACTTCTCCCCAGCAGACTGCAAATTCAAACAACAGATAAAGTTGAAATCTCACAGCAGCGGCGAAACATCGGCTCAAACAAACCTCAGCTCTTACCTTCTAACAGAGCTACAGCTCCTCTGTGGTGGCGTCAAACTGCAGCAGCTGCTTTTATCTGAAGAAGGAGCTGATTGGAGCCGACTGATGAGGAGGAACAGCTGCTGATGAAGGACACCTGCGAGCTTCACGATGGAGGAAGATGTAAATCCTGCAGACGGAAACAAGCCCGTTGGATTCATGTTTTATCTGCACATGAACCAAAACTCTCTTCTGCCATCTTTTGTCCGTCAAGTTTTAATGATTTCACTTTATTTTGTCTTTCATGCTGTGTTGTTTGCACTGTTTTTATTGATAAGGCTGCCAATACTCAATATCTCTGATCTCCTTATAAGATCCAACAGGCCCAAATGGTTCGAGGTCCAGTTTAAGGTAATGTTGTCCTGTTGGAAGGTTAGTCAAAGGGTAAAAAGTAGACCAAAAAAATGACAAAGAGACACAAAATTACCAAAAATGGACATAAAGCATCAGTCAGGACACAGAAAGACCAAGAGAGATGCAAAAAATACCCCCAAAAAAACCCACAAAAAGACCGAAAAAAGACAAAGTAAACTTACAAAGAGGCAAAATGATCACAAAGACAAAAGATGAAGAAAAAGAGAAAAGATATGACCACAGAGACACAAACAGACTATAAGGAGATAAAACAACCAAAAATGAGACACAGAGCAACCGAAAAGACAATCAAAACAAATACAAAGAGATGCAAAATGACCAAAAGACACAATAAACAACAACAAACAGACACAAAACTACCAAAAACAAACACAAGATGACCACACAGACACACAATTACCAAAAGAGACACAGAAAACTACCACAAAGAGACAAAATGACCAAAAACACAAATAAAATGATCACAAAAAGACACAAAACAACCATGAGGAGACACAAACTGTTCACAAAGAGGCAACATTTTGTTTGTTTCGTTTTTTTAACTTGTTTTGTCTGTCATGTCATATTTATCTTCCTGTTGTGAGCTGGTATGGACTAAGTTGTTGTATCACTGGTTGACAGTCATCCAGTGTTGTGTTGTGTTCTCCTTCCTCCTCTGTTATTGAATGTTTAGTGTGTTGTTTTTTTTTAGAAAGTTAATTAGAGGGTAAGATATTGACACAAAGCAACCACAAAGACATGCAAGATGACCGTAGAGACAGAAACTGACTGTAAGGAGACAAAAATGACCAAAAAGAGACACAAAACAAACACAAAATGTCCCAAAACAACCGCAAAGAGACTTCAAATGGAAGAAAATAGCCACAAAACAACCACAAAGATACACAGAATGACCAAAAAGACACACTTCTTCAGTTCAGTCAGTATGGTTTTGGTTTCTTCGTCCAATGAAGATCTGGGCAGTCAAACTCACTAGCTCTGTTTGTTTTCTAGCTAGCACGAACAGCCATGTAGGCCTTATTTACTGGCTGCTAGCAAGAGCCAAGTGAAGGGAAGACACTGAAGCTAACTTCACTCTGTTTACTCTGGTGACTAAGTTTAAAACTAGTTAACACACTAGTTCTTCTTTGCTCACTAGTACTATAAGCTAGTAAGTAGCAAGCAGGCTAACTAGTTCTGACTTAGTAGCTACTAGCCAGAGCTACATTAAGTGAGAGGCACAGATTGGCGCTAACTTCACTTTGTTCATATGCTGCTAGTTAGTATGTCTGAAGCTAATTAACACCCTAACTAGCTCTTATTTACAAGGTAGAACGGATAAACTAGTTTAAGTGATAAGCCTGTTTACCTTTCAAGCTAATAGCTAGAGCTACATGGGAGATGGACTTTACTGTTCATAAGCTGCTACTTCATTGGTTTAAAACTAGCTAATTAACTAGCATGATTTGCTTAAATTAGAAACTAGCTGACATGGTTGATACTTTGGAATCAACCAATCATTGTTGGACCTCAAAAACACAGCAACTAATCTTTAAGGTGACATATGCTACATGCCAAGCCAGCTAACTAGCTAGGCTGATTTGTAAACATCAGTAGCTAGCTGGTTCGAGTTTTCACAAGTGTTACTCTGAAAATGTGTGTTAAACCTGAAGTTAAAAAAAAGTACAGTCTTATTAGTCAACAGTACTGAGCTAACATGAGCTAACTGGACTGCAGTTAATGAACCAGATGTTTTGAGTTGATGGGCATCTGTACATTTACCCCCAAGAACAAGGTCATCTCACAGATTTGTCAGTGTTTGTTTCCTCCCATCCTCACCCCAACCAGTCAAGGCAGATGACTGCCCTCCAAGTCTGGGTTCTTCACCCTGTCAAGGGCTTCCTCAGAGGAAACTTTAGCCTTGTTGGGATGTTTCCAAATAACATCTACTTTACATTAAGTCATGACATTGACAGTATAGAGCAAACTCTATATTTCCAAGTGTTTGAGGTGGAAAAACTTCCAGTCTCAGGTTTGTGACTGAGTTAATGTTAACTGCAGCCTGTAAGTGTGCACTAGACCCAACTAGGATCAGTTCAGTGTAAACCAGTACTGAATCAGAGACTGGATCACCTTGAAACACTTCAGTAGGTAAAAAGCTAGTTTTAGCAAAACTGCCTGCAGGAAACCTTCATTTATCACAGCTGGTGGATATTTTCAGGATTGAAGTGATGAAAACTGAGACACAAAGTAACTCTGAAAAATCATTTATTCAATCATGTGCAGTTAGAAGCAGCAGCACCTCTGGAACATGGAGACCTGCAACACAAACACAGGCAGTCAGCTGGCAGCAGATCCACACAGCAG